AATCGTGGCAGATGTAGTTAGGTTAAAATGAAATACATTATCATTCAATCTCCCTTTTGAGTCATTCTAAAGTTTTTTCAGCTTTTAATATTTTTTGCTTTCTTTTCAATTGGGGTTTATCTGTGTTTTGTCTAATCATTCTTGTTATGTTTGTTTGTAGTCTGTTTGTGCTTTATATCATTTTCTGCATATGATATCCAGAATAGGTAATTTTCTAGAGCCAGTACCTGGATTTATAATTGTGTAGGAGCTTGGCAATGGAGGTGTTGGGGAATGGGGGTTAACAACAATGAGTACACGAATGACATATTCTAAAATTGATGGTGATCATTGCACAAATATTCTTAATGTGATTAAACAATTAAAGTGTATGCTATGTGAAATATATACCAATGAAGCCATTTTTAAAAGATTGCAGTCAGGAAAACTCCATAAAGTAGTTCTAGTCTGTAGCACATGGTTCTGCCATGTGTTGTGCACATGGTTCTGCCATGTGTTGGGGGGCTGATTCAAAAACAGCTGACAAAAAGTACTGCTCTCAAGTATAAGGATTTGATCTTTCTTAGTACAAAATCCCTTCATATACATATATATCAAAATGCCAAATCTAATTGTGAAGTTTTATGAAAGTCAAAGTGGTCAAAAAAGATGTCAGAAGCACTGCTGCTGAGTTGAATGTAAATCAATGACACCCTACACAGTGTTTCTGAGAAGGTAATTGTTCACCATGGCAGAAAGCCTCATCTTTCTCACATGGAGTGGCTGGTGGGGTTGAACTGATGACCTTGCAGTTAACAGACCAAATGCCTAACTCATAGCACCATCGATGCTCTTTTAATTAAAAAAAAAAACAGCAATAAAAACTTATATGTTATTAAGTCAGTCCAGATAGATAGGGGAAACAAATTCATGAACATGCATATCTATATACAAAAGACGTTTATGTACAAGAGCAATTGAATATAGCGAAAACCTCCCAGTCTAGTCCAGATCAAGTCCATAAGTCTGATACCAATCTATACAGTCCACTTCAGACTCACAAAACACATGCGATGATGCAGAATGCAGGATGACCACAGGTCAGTGGGAAGAAAGCCTTTGGATCCAGTGACATTGCGTGCATCTCAGTGCTGGTAGGGGTCTCCACGTGGCTTCACCAGTTCCCAGAGCATGGGGTCTATCAAGGTAGTGCCATGTGTCCTGTCAGTAGAGCATCCCCAAGGGAGTGAGTCTTTTCAGTGGAGACACTCCAAGGGAGTGAGCCAAAAGAGAAAAGTGTCTCCCACCTCCATGGAGGAAAATACAGGAGTTCCCAGAATTCTCAGTAGAAGGCCATGTCCACACAGAGGCATCATTGGCTATGATCTGAATGAAAGACTAGACTCCATCCCTTCACTCTTAATCCTCTGAAGTCCAAAATTGACACCAGATTATTTAACTACCACAGACCTCCCCTTGTCAATTTGACACTGTCATACAACTCTTTAGTCATATACGATTTTAAGACAAACAAAAATAAAATCATATCTGTACTTAACAGGACAAAAACTAAAATGCCTACAATTCAGTATGTGCCACACTCATTTAAACTCTTTAAGTGAACAAAACAAAAATATCCTATGCCTAACAATTATTGTAAGTAACATCTACACATTAATCCTATAATTCTATTAATATAGTCCCACATCTATGAAAGTTTGTAAGCCAACCAAATCATGCATTTATCCCCCCAATTTTGGGTATACAATTTCTATACTGTCCACTTACATCAACTCAGTGCTCTGAGGAGACAATCATATTCTTTGATGTGAAGAATCTTCATTCCAGTTGGAATCTTGTGAGTGCATCCATAAGCAAAGTCAAATCAGGACAGGCCACCCATAAACTCTGCAGCAATAGTCACCAGTTCACAGGCTCAAATATATTTTCATCTAGTCAGGTTCTGGTCAGCTCAATGTGGGTTGCCTCACTTAGCCTCACCAGGGTGCCCATTGGTTGCCTTGCCTTTAGACCATGGGCTCCTCCCAAATTCTCAACCTCTCTAGCCCCCTGTGCTAGGTCATGAACTTCAGACCTATCAACCTGCTCTCAGCTTCTCTTCTAGTTCCTGTGAACCAGGTCCATGGGTATCAGTGGTCAGATTCAACCAATCTCTCTCTTGCTGCATTTCTCCCACTTCTACTCAATCAGAGGATCCAGGTGGTCACCTAGCAAGCATTTCAGCCTGCCCACAGGCTCCCTTTAACTGTTCAGCTATAGACATCACTTTTCTTCATGGTTGCAGATTGTTTCCAGCTTCTGACAAAACCACTAGTTCAAGATTTCCAGAAAACCAAAGAATTCCTCTTTCTGCAATCAGTCAACCATGCCCCCAGGCAAGTCTCTTGGAATGCAAATGTTATGAGCACTCCAAAGCACTGGGAAGGGATTATCTTTTCAGAACCTTCTTTGCAGGTGTGTCTTAAATCCATTTAAAGATAGATTTTTAATCATTCAAAGCAAGTGCGCTTTCAAGCTCTCTATTTTCATACTTCCCAATAAACACTTCTATAAATCCTTATATCAATAATTATAAACAGAAGAAATCAGTATAAACAAGTAGAATCAGATCCTAAACTCAACAGTCAAATTCAATCCTTATTTTGCTTATCTTAATCCTTATCTGAACAATTCCATTGATACAAAA